ACAGTTTTATCTCAAGTACTATCTCTTTTAAAACAGGACTTTCATATACAAAATTATTCTAAATTTGTCGTGACAATTAATAACTGTTAAGTGATTAGTGCAAAATTATTAATTTCGAATATTGAGCTGAGAAGATATTTATAACGATTTAAATTTATTTATTGATTTTGATATTGCAATTTTTATCTCAAATTAATCTTAGTTGTCTGTTACTAATAGTTGTCATGGAAGATCGCTAGAACATCTTACATATTAGAAGACTGAAAGACAGTAACATTGAATATAGGTATATGTTGAATAGAGAATATATTTAAAACGATTTGAATTTATTTTTTTAAAAACACATCCAGAAATCAAAGTTAGCGGCTAAAAATCAATGAATGTCTGCGAAATTTTTTTCATAAGATGGAGTTTAATAATAAAATATATATAAGAAATAATATAATTTGAAAGGACTCTTAATTTTTAAAAAACAAAAAAATTCAAGACTAAATAAGAGTTAGCGCGGAAGGTATTGCACAAATTATTAATTTTACTCCGTATGATGTCTTTTTTATTGAGAAAAATTTTGAACGTTTCAACTCTCTTTAGAGTCCTCAGAAAATCAATCGTATATCCTTCATCGAAATTAGTTTAAGTATCAGTCAAAATTAAGTCACTCGCAAATTGCTAAAACTTAAGTGAATTCTGGTTTAAAATATTAATTATGATCAATTAAAAAATTATCTGAAAGCACAACGAACAACTCACCTCAACGTGATCATAAACGTGTTATAAAGCTTTGAAATGATGTTAAAATTCGATGCACAGCTTAATTTTAGTAAACATGTTGAAAGAAAACTGTCTAAACATCGTCTGTATAACCCGATGTATCAAGCGCATCTAACGAGTAATTTAAAATTATCAAGGTCGAATGGAACTATAATCGTTCGACCTTTGACAATTTTAAATTATTCGTTAGTCACGCTCGATACACCGGATCGTACAGACGATGTTTAGACAGTTTAGAATCTACTTCAGAGAGTTTTAGCAATCCCTAGTCAGTATGACGATCACCACACACAAGACGCACACAGATGAAAAGCAACTGCATGCAATGAAAAAACAAACGCAAATCTTCATTCTGCGTCTACAAACTACGTTTTGCGATTTGCGAGTTATATAAAAGCACCTTAATGTCCATCGTCATGTGTAAACAATTAGCGACCAGTCCAATAGTCGAAACCTATCGTTTTGATAATTAGACGTATTTTTTCTCGGCGTTTTCATAGCATCCTTTCAAGAGTGAACATTTTTCATTCAGGATATAGTTTCAAGTGAGTAGTTATGAATTGTGATAAAAGGGGTACGTGTTAAATACATTTTAACTATATTCACCAAGATTATAACTATTTTAACTTTAAACTGAAGCGTTTTGAACAAATCTTTTGTTATTTTCTTGGGCTAATTTTAACAAACTCGATGATATTAATATTTTTCTATTTTATAATTAATATTTACAGAGAAGTTTAACAATTAAACTTCTCTGTATTTCTCAATAATTTTTTTTTATTTTACTACTGCGCGGTTTTCCGTGATATAACCAATATAAGTTTATTAAAGTATTTAGTAATAAATATGAATTTCTTGACTCCTCATATGTTTATTTCTAATTTCAATTATTCGAATTTTATTTTAGAGTCAATAAATGTCAAAATAATGATTGGAACTGATATTATCTGGAGACACTGGTAGTGTCTCGGCGCTAAGCTACGCGCAGCGACACTATACCGTGGCTACTTTACGCGAGCCAGCGAGTTGCAGCAGATCGAGATTATCAGATCTCAGTAAGGGCTGAACCAATCAAGTTCTAAGTGTGTTCAATCGATTGCAATCGCTCGGGATATATAATGAAAGTGTTTTAATTTTTTCTCTACGTGCTCTACGAGCGGAGGTATTGCGACGCAAAATACGAATCTGAATTATATATTTTAAAATTGTAAGAACTATATTTTTTCATAAAAAAGTATTTTCTACAGCTTAAAATACAATGAATTAGTAAAACGGCACATTTAGATCCACTTAAACTATATATAAAATAATTTTGGCTGTGTGTGTGTGCCTAATACCCATTTCTATCAATGTAGATTAACTTAAATCTTAGTTCAACTTACTTTTCGTCTTTTTCTAGTTCTAAAGATTAAAAAAAAGACAAAAGAGTAAGTTGAACCGAGATTAATTAATCTACATTGGTGGAAATAGGTATAAATCAGTCAAATATATCACTGTGCAGCATTTAAAAGCTATTGGATATAAAGTAGAGCAGATCTTTTTCGTTCATTTCTCTAATATTTATTTTTAAACAGCAGATGTTGATATAATTTAAAGATTGTACTTGTGTTCTCTCAAGAAGCAATCATGATTATATAATGTAATTATAAGCACATCACTGTAAAGAGATATTGTTTGCTATTTTCGTATTACTTTAAAGTTGAAACTGACGGAATAGCTCACCCACGCTATCTATACATATATTATTGATACTTATATTAGATAATGCAATATTTTAAGAAGGAACGTGTTTTTTACAGTTGACTATTAAAAAAATATAGAAAGAATTGAAAACTTCTGATTTCCTTGCAATGATAATCGGCCATTTATGAATAATTCTCTTTTTTTGTTATCAATACTATATCTTTTCTCTCAGTGTACGTCGTCATTTTTTGCACAAATGCAATAATAAAGACATATGTGTATGTATCCCTATACACACACACACACACATATATATATATTTATTATTGCGGGAGGGCTCCGATTGCACACATCGCATATTGCACACATGTATCGCTGATTGGCCAATTTAAAAATAAAATAATTTCATTGGCAAAACAGTAGAAAATTACTAGGCACCAGTTGATATGAGTGGTGTGTACAATCAGAACTGTAGGCAAACGGGATCCTCCCGAAATTTATATTACGTATTTTTGCTGTTGCGTTTAAAATTATATATTCCTGTAGAAATGCATAAATTATATCTCCTTTACGTTTACACTGCTCTTTATATATCTATTTGTATGAATTTATGATTTAGATTTTATAATGTGTTACATGTTATAAATTAAAAATTATGCAAGTATACATATAACGGAAATAAATATATCCTCATATATATTTATCTCTGATATGCTATACGTATATCTATCTGTACGTATATCTATACAATATATAACTTTTATAACACATTATAAATCATAAATTTATAAATCTCTCATAAATTTATAAGATTCATCATGCGCGATGCAGTATAGATAGGCTAATCATTTCTAATCATAACTATAAATTATTTCACGTCATGTTTATGCGTCTCATATTTCTCTCTCCTTCCTCCGTAAAATTTAATATCATTGTGTTATTTAATATCTCTTCGATAAATTATATTCGTACATTTTTACAATATATTGTTGTATAGTATTGTATTTCTTGTAATGATATAAATGATATATCGTTTATTCGAAGCTATTTTGTTCATTCTTTTTTTGCGTTCGATATACAGCAAAAAAAGTAATTTGGATTTCGGAACTACCTGTCGATGTTGTTCCTTTGTCGATGCAGAGAAATTCTTTTCTTTATTATAATCTTATTTACATATGGCTAATAAATCTGATTATTTACGGATGGATTATAAAAAAGATATTATCAATACGTGAATAATTACAAAAACGAAACTGTTTGAATTCAGTATCAAATATCACGTGTATCAAAATGATACAGAAATAGATATACAATGAGTGCAAAAAGTATTCGTACAGAGAAAATATTTTTTACAAAACTTTATTTTTAAAAAGTAAATATTATTCAGCGAGAAATGAGTCATCGAATTGATGTCGAATCGATATTGATGCGATTTCAACACCAATTTGACATCGATTCGATGTTTAATTAACGATCATTTCTTGCTGGGTAATTAACAATTTATTCATAAAGAATAAAATAGACTGTGTTTCTTAAAATTATATATACCAAAAAGATGTATATTAATTATAGAAAATATATCATCTGAAAAATTATTCGTACAGACGAGAAATTTAGTTTCTAAAATCAGGAATACATGCGAAGCTCGTTTGTTTATGTTAGAACAAAATGTATTCATTGTGTATAAAATTTCTAATTAATATTTATTTTCTACAAATAAGACTTTTTTTATAAAAAATTTCCTTGTACGAATACTTTTTGCATTCACTGTATATACATGTAGACTACGAATAGGATCAAGCCAGTAAAGTAAAAAGGATAAGAGATAAAGAAAAAATATAGGTACCAGAGTACGCATTTGCAAAAGTACACGCTTATTAATTAGAAATTATCTTTATTTCACAGTTCTTTTGACGTAATCGTACCATAATATTTTTATATGTCAATACTAGATAATTATTTTCTCGTGCGAAGAACTAATTGAAGAATATATCACGGCAATTCTGAACCAATAATAATAATATACATCATCGATCACAATATGCGAGAAAACTGGTATTAATTGAACATCAACATCGTGCATTTTCGAATTAATTCGATCATTTAGCTTTCTTTACACATATGTTTTTTTGGAATATGTCGTAATACATGTATCGCTAGAGATAAAAGGAGCCGATAGCAAAATTTTTCTCTGTTCCTTTTAACACGATTATTCATTATTGTAATGTATGCAAATAAAACGCACGCATATATAATAAAAGGTATCGCATCATAATTGTTTAGAACAAGAGACTTCAATTAACGATTCACTTATCGTTATTATTAGAACATAAATTTTATTTTTCATAATCGTACAGCAGAAATTCAATCGATTGTAGCTCATCGACGAATTTAATAATAGAACACGCAAAAATTAATATAGTATCACCATATTATCCTAGTCAAGAAAAAAAGAAAAAAAAAGAATGTCATGCGAATTCCAGATTCACGCAAAGCGGCGAAGTGCGACATACGTTATTCTGTACTCACAAAAATAACGTGATTGCCGCGTGCTTTTGACATAATAAAAGATGCGATGAGAGGTACGAACTATCGTGCCGATCTTACGTTGAGTAAGAATCTACGACTAAATGCATTCTCGATAGTAAAAACAAAAGAATATATATATTTTTATTCCGGTCGCCTTAGGTGGGAAAACCCTGTGAGATGAGATCCTTGAAGACGCCGGCCGCGAGAATAGGAACGTCCGTAATCTGAAACAAAAATTGAATCAATGAGAATGAGGAGACAATAGCGTCGTTTGGACATTTTCAAAGAATACTGCCACGGAATATCGCGAAATGGGAATATATATATACTGCGCGTTACGCAACCGGGAGAAAGATAAATAAACACGCGCGTGTGGACTGTGGCGTCGTGTGAGTCATCGCGCACAAAGATAGTCGGCGCCGATAGCGAAATAAGACGCAATATACGGTGTGCGCTTACATTTCGCGAGAATTCGCAATGGAAATGTTGGAAATTTGAGATATCTGATTCGACCAAATAGCGAAGCTATTTGGAAGCCAAGCCATCGAACGTAGTAAAAAATAAAAGATGAGCGCGACCGTTTCTGATTTTTCATTGTTATCCACCTTTCCAAACATACAATAAAATATAAAAACTGATAAAATATGGAAGAACGATTAAGAATCTACAAAGTTACAGATTTTAATTTAGCGAAATTAATCGGAAAAAATTATAAATTATTTGTAACTTTTATATCGTTCTCTGAAGGCTATCACACAAGAATACGATTGAGATTCATACTGCGCGTTTAAAATATCCAACTTCAAGGTATTGATGATAACATTCAGCTGACTTCATAATGGGTGTTTTCCATTTGACGATACAAGTCGACACAAGTGTCTTTCTATTGTCAACTCTCTTTGAACGTCACAAGGATAACCGATAAAACGTAAACACTTGCGTCATCAAATGGAAAGTACCCAGTATTAGTATAGTTTTCGCGGAGTGACGTACCCACATGAACGAATGTGCTCGAATCTTGCTGCGAGATAAAGGATGAAGGTAAATGACGTCACTTTCACGAGAGAACAAAAGCGATTGACAAAATATGAATATTACTGAATCGGATTGTGTCGACGATCGAGCACGGGCATTGAAGTAAAATCGACTCGGTGATCTAACCTTTTACGCCTTGCTCTTGCTCGTCGTCTGCCGTTTGTTGTGCTCGGTGTTCATCAGCTTGGTGAGAATCTTTCTGGAATGGCCGCTCGGGTCGAAGTGATTCGTGTGCGCGACAGCCTCGCGTTTGCTCCTCTGCTTACCGCCGTGCGAGGTGAAGATGTGCTTGTCGTAGTCGTAGTTGAAGTGCTCGTACTCGTCGACGTATGCCTCGGACATAGTTCACGAGATTCGATGTACTCGGGGACGCTTACGGAAAGAAAGTCGCGGGCGCGACGTAAATGCGCAGAGTATCGCTCGACTGGAATAACTCGACCGGGGAGATCGATTCGCTACTGGTCGCGCGGCGTTCGCCGACCCGGGTTTATATACGGCGACCCGGTTCCGCGGGCCGCTCATGCGTGCTTCGTTCGAAGCCGAAGCCGTGCTACCGTGCCGGCTCAACAAGGCCCGGTTTCTTCGCCGGCGAATGGCGATGCGATATGCTCTCTCAACCAGACGACAATTCAACACCAATCTAATATATCATGTTTTTCTTTGTTAATTCTACATAGGAAAAAAAAAACAAAAGGAAATGTCTTCTTTTATACTTGTTTATACAACTGCGTAGTATCTATATGTCGAGACGGTAACCTTTTGCGGCGTAGATCCCGTGGCACCGATAACGTATCGAGCTCTATTTCGATCTGGCTTTTTCGCAAAATTATGTAACTCTCTCGTGGATTTTGATTATTTGTATCAGTTGCGAAAAGAGAAACAAACTAATTAAGAGGCGAACAAAATTGCACAATGGCGCAACATTACGACAAATATTATGTATAGAACGCTCGTCAAAGCATTGCAGTATAATAGTTTATATGTATTATGATGCATTTCAGATATTTCTCCAAGCGTAGCGTTGAGTGTTTTCAAGGACGAAAATAATTGGGCAGATAGAACCACCTGGCAACATTGTAAAGGTGCGCGCCGTATTGTTGTGCAGAGCTGATCTTGTGTTATTAAAGCCTATATGGATCTATTAGCAATAAGTACTTACATACGTAATTTTTCAAAAACTTTAGAGCGATTTCAACCAAGCTTTAACTTAACTGTTGATTAGTTTATCAATTGTAATATCCTATTAACCATTTTATTCATTTGAAATCATTACGGTTTTATTGTTCCATGTATGAAAAGAAGATAAAGGACAATGAATTATATATTTAAAATTATATATTTAAAAGTATTGTATATATTTATATAATTTTAAGCAACTTGGTCAGAATATTTATATTGTAGAATATTGTCCCAGACAATCAAGCGTGTTAGCAAAATAGTGCGAATTTATGATTGCTTATGATGCTGGCAATTTGCCATATATTTGCCTTCAATGATTTTGAACATATTAACTTCTTAGCAATATACAAGCAACAATGTATTGTTAGCAGTCAATGGCAAGATAGCAGTATCAAACTTCGCGTTGTCGGCAATATGATAGCATTATATGATTCTACAGATTATTATAGTAATAGACGACAATAGCACGAATTTTGAAGAAGATTTTGAAGTTGTCAGCAAATTTTTGCCAAATTTACTGCCTAAAGTTGTCATATTGTAAAGGCATTAACTTGCCAACAAATATGAATTCAGTTGCTGTAATTTTGATAGCAACACATATTTATTTGCGAGTAACATACTAACAACAAGGCACTTTGTTATCTGGAATAACGTAGAATTATTAATATTGTATAATTAGAAATACATATTTTAAAAATATAATTTCACTGTATATATACGATCATAAAATAATTAATTAAGACACTCGGAGTTTTGTTGAACCCTCAATCAATTATTTCATATTTCATTATACTGGCGTATCAATATAAAATATAAATAGATAAATGCAGATAACTTCTATAGACATTGTTATCTATACGAACAATACAAATTAAAAATCTGTAGATAAATTAATTTATCGCGTGAGAAGTTGTTGAATAACACATTGTTGTCGTCAGAAACGTAATCGGGTATTTGGAAATAGGCAGAGTATAATTTAATTATTGTGAAAGATTTTTCATGATGATGGTTCTTTTCATACACGAGGTCTTCACTCCCGTTGCTTTCAATAGTTATTACTTACGTGGCTAATCTATATGTTCCAGACGACCTAGAAAATTCCAACACGTAAGCTCACCCGACGTCCAAGTGCATTGCCTTCTGCGAGTTCTATAGAGCGTGTATTTCCAGCGCTCTGGTGCCATGTAACAGTGCTGCTTTTAGCCAAGTGCAGATTTCTGAAGGTAGCTCTTTTATTCAAAACGATATATTTCTTATCTTGTCAAGTTTTCATTTGAGAAAACATTGAGAAATCGCGCAGTTATGATATTGCTCGCTGCACGAAATTGAAAATATTTGTAAAAATAAAAAGAACAGAAAAGAATGGAATGAAAGTAATGGAAACGGATTAGCTATACTTAAGAATCAATGTTTATATGTCGATAGGAAAAGCGCGTGTTAGGTCGCATTCTAATCGTTTGCAAACAAGATGTGGCACTTGCGGAGGTGTAGCGAGAGGCTCGTAACGGGGACATAAACAACTTGAGAAATATTTTGTTGTTACATTCACCGAGCGGATATGGATATCACCGCGCGGTGCTGCTGAGGAAAGCTGATATCACGCATTAACACACGCGCAATCAATCGAGCTTGTTTCTACGTCGTACGATGTCAATGTACAAGGCGAAGTTATTGAAGCGTAAAAGATGCGTCGCCGACGAAATCTCTCGATTAAATTATTCTGTATTTTTTAATCGCACGCCTTGTCGTGACGAACTTTCTATATAACTTTGTTTTACATATGAATTTTATTTAGCAATAATCTAAATTTCCCTCCTTGACATTATATAAACAGAACAACAATTGATGATGACATCAAAATGAGATGACTGAAAAATAACTTTTAGGCCGGTATTCATAGTATATTCACATATTTTAAGACTATCTTAAATAATATCTTAAGATGCTAATGCGGCTTTCTGATTGGTTCATGACATCTTAAGACTGTACTTAAAATGATCTTAAATGTAATAGGCCTTCTACAATAAGTCGCAAGTCAGAACGTCAGAAATCTTAACCAGTCTTAACAAAGTCGTTCAAGTTGGCTATTGGTCAACTTCACCGATTATGACTTAAGATCGCTTAGAACTTCTGACTTGCGGCTTATTGTGGAAGACTCGTAACAATTGACTATGAATACCGGCCATAGTAATCATTTTGGAATCACTTTGACGTCATACTGACGACTTGTGTTCTGTTTGAATAAGTTGGCACTACATTGAATAATGTCGTGAAGGTAGTAAAATTGATAAACAATATTTTTTTATGACATTCAACACTTACCATTTACGGGAAAATTCGATATGTTTGCAAAATCTATATTTTACTCCAGCGACGAAATACATAATATTTATTTAAGCAGATCACCGATGTTAATTAATGATACAAACAGATGTTTTATATTCAAATATTTATTTAATTTTTTATTTGATGTTCTTATATTATAACGTTGCGTTGATGTTATAATTTATAATTAAATGTCGCGTCTGCATATAATTGTACTTAAAATATCAGTTTCTTCTTTTTTTCACGGTGCATTTTATTTTCAAGGCCGAACATTGATATGAACGATGGATTATCTCGACCATAAGCACGAAATACGTGCTCGTTTTCGTGCACTCCTTTCGCCGACATGAGGCGACATTTAATTATAGCTTGTAGAATGTGCTACCTCTTGCTAAGTCAGCGGATGACAAAGTTCGGCCATGCAGTTTCTTCTTTCTTTCTCCTTCTCACTTTTGGCGTTTATAAAAGTGCCGTGTGAAGGAAATCGTCGATCGAATTCGAAGAATGAATTTGGCGACGACCAGACGAAAGGAAATTGGATACGTAGTACCGTTAATCGATTTGATCCTGATGGCTGACATTAAGTCAGCAGCCCCCCGATCTGCTCTTAACTAATCGAGAGAATCCTCCCGGACGGCTTCAGACGAAACAGGTTTTGTCGAACTATAGAAGGGGAATTGCTAATGCAATGCCTTATATTTGCACTTCCCAAGCGTCGTCTTGGCGTTGTAGAAAACTCTGAAGTAAAAAGATTAGAAAGAGAGAAACATGCAATGATATACCAAGAATACGAAAAATAATTTCCCTCAAGAAGAGTGCTGTCATCAAAATAGTGTATTACTTTACGTCAATTATTAAAATTTGATTTTATTGATTAACAAATTATTTTTTTTAAAATATATAACAATTCATTAGAGAATTTCGCAGAGATTGGGATGTGTAGATAACATTTAAGGCCCGATTTCACAATATATGGTTACCTAAAGATTAAAGGTAATCGAGAAATTCATGAATAAATTTTATTGATGAATCTGTTGGTAATCTTTAATCTTTAGGTAACCATATACTGTGAAACCGGATCTAAGTGCAATATTTGGTACGTGATCCAAAGTAGTTTAAAACAGAAAATAAATCGCAGTGATATCGACATCAAGGTTTTACGCCTATAAATAGCGCAACAAGGCTAGAGATTTTCAATAAGCGTCCATGGAGCGTCATACAACTGTGCTAAGAATTCGAATCGTACAAACATGTATATCAACTGTGAAAAAAAATTCCTCGATTTTCGTGTTCTACATTGCCTGGTTTGTGTACATCAATATTACGAAAATTAAAGGAAAGATAAATGTAGATGTTGGAAGGAAGAAGAGCGATGTAAGAACAAGGTGCGACCAGTGAGCGAGAAAGTGTAAAAGTTTTATATTGAACGGTAATACTGACATATCGATCTTTTAAACACGAACATCTCGCCAATAACAATAACAAGATTGATCGCATACATCCGTGTTATAATCATGAGATTTTGTTCGGCATCGTTTGAACAAAGTCTATTATCTTTCGCAGAAGGTTTATGCTACAAAATGATGGCTGGATCACCGGAAGGTGACTCACGCATGCGAATCAATTGATTCCGTACACATCGCCACCTTTACGATAATCAGCGTTCGCGAAAATTGTGGAATTTTCATACAGTACGACACAAGCTACGCTGCCGCGAAGTTTGTAGCGTTCTGTGACGTGTCCCAAACGTTTCAGACCGTCGACCACTTGTTTAGGGATCCCATACTCGTAAGACACCTTGGGCGGAAATAGCTGGTGATGTATCCTCGCTGAATCCACCGCCTCCTTGACCGTCCGCCCCATCCAAAGTATTTTCGCTGTCACCTAAAAGCATACAGGTTTTATTCGTGAAAATCATCTATTAATTTATTGATCCTAGTAACACTAAATAGAGATTCAAATTGGATTACATAGAAATCCAATTTGCGCAAGCTGTTAAATATTTAAGGTGTTACTGACTTGTGATACTGCCGTCGTAATTTTTGTACCACCAGCAGCACCCATGACCATTTTGATGTCACCGTTCCGATCGACCAGAACGGATGGTACCATTGAGGACAATGGCTGTTTTTTGGGCGCGATATAATTGTTGGGGCTTGGCGGCACACCGAAGTAATTGAACTGCGACGGAATGCTGAAGTCGTCCATGCCGTTATTTAACAAAATGCCGGTTCTTCTGCTGACTATTCCGCTTCCGAAACTACAAAATCGTTAAAAAAAGGCATATAAAGGATATTTTTACGATCCGTAAATAATGTGATTTTATAGACGGTATTTATAGTCCATTCTTATTTTTAGACTGTTTTAAGTAATGTTTTAAAATGCTAACACAGCCTTCTAGTTGACTTATGATATCTTAAGACAGTCTCAAATATAAGAATCGATTATAAATATCGGCCTAGGCGAAGACTTACTAAAAGTTGATGGTGCTGGTAACCGATACCGCATCACCATTCTGCGTCAGCACGGACACGTGCGCGGTACCATGGTCTTCGACATTAGTATAGGCAGGAGAGCCATAATGTTGTGGATCCTGCCACGTTCTTGTATCATCTATTTTCTCTCGTATCGAGCGCGCGAAGCTCTTCGATGTCAGGTTTCTGATTATCTTTAAAAGAATTGAAATAGTGCCATTATTAATTGATAACAAACTCAATAAGATTCAAAAGAAAAAGGGATCGAACGATCCCTTTTCGATATGTTTACCTCGGTCATATCGATGAAAGTTCCATCACCCAGCTTCGTTCTTAACGCGAACGCATACTTGAAAGTCTCTATCATTCTATGATATGTGAGGATTGTTGCGTTAAAGTCAGTTATGCTGGCTGGCGTAAAGTCGTAATCATCGAAGACGTTGAGAATAAACGAGAGAAGAGCTCCGCTACCAGGCAATCCTGTAGTCAAGAGTTCCAACCCGTCCGAAAAATTTGTTCGTATCGGTTGATTCCACGAAACTCTGGGCAAAAGTAAGAAGAACATATACTCAAGAGTTCTCTTTGTGATGCGGCGTATAATTATCCGTGTTTAGAGAAAAAAGAAACTTTTCGAATGTGATTACCTGTACTCATTAAGATCTTTCATCGTTATTATTCCTCCTTGTTCTTGTAAATCATCGACGAGAAGTTGTCCAATCGTACCGTTATAAAATTCGGTTGCATTTTTCTTAGCAACAGTCCGTAGAGTTTCGCAAAGCGTATAGGGTTTAATTACAGAGCCTGGTTTACGAAACTCGTTAGTTGCAGGATCGACAAACAGTTCTCTAAAAGATTAAAGAGGATATTTCGTATATACCGCCATAAATATTTCAGCATTCATTATGCATGGTTTGTATCTACATATTTAATAAGTTTATACCTCAAAGTTGGATCATTGTAAATGCTCTTCTTATTATATAAAAGTCCGTCATACTGTACTAATGTTAGAACATAGCCCTTTTCACAGAGGTCGATGCTCGGTTTGAATAAATCCGCCCATGGCAACTTACCGAATTGTTGATGAGCTTCCCAATAACCAGCCAGTTCACCGGGTACGGCGATTGCCAGTGCACCTGTCAATTAATCCGGCAGTATTCAATATTTTTTCATATGAGAAGACGATTGGTCGTTTATCGAAAAATTTGTCAAAATTTACCGAATCTAGATGCATTTGCGGGTTTGCCAGCGTACATCGTAAAATTCGCTGCCAAAGGTGCGCGGTCCCTTGCATTGAGAACGAAGGTCTGGCGTGTGGATCTTTGATAAATAGTCATCAAAAAACCACCACCGAGACCCAGACTCTGCATGTTCACGAGTCCGTTGCATATTAGCGCTGCTAGCGCAGCATCCACTGCCGATCCGTTCCGTTCTAGAATTGACCTGAAAAGGGAAATTAAGCATATTTATCGAGTTTATTGATTATTCTTGCGAATTAAACAATTCACATCTTTGGCATACATACTTGCCGATAACAGCGCATGGTGCTCCGTCCGCGCAAACGGCACCGCGTTTGAAAGTTCTTAACTTACTCCACGACGGTGGCTGGAAGCTTTCTGGATCGGGCGGCACCAAAAACTCATTATCTTGTGAATCAGACGTACTGTTACGCGCGTACGCACTTAGACCGATGATTATGGCGATTATTAGTGCAGCTACGATAGCGCCGATTATGATCACGTGATGTACGCGAAATCGTGATCTGAAAAAGAGCAATAATATATTGATAAAGACATTATCGAAACGTATCTCACGATTGAAGTGGCCACTTTTAATAAACACGATATTATTGCTCGTAATAATGATTTTTAATAATTTTATTTTTCGTAAATTTCAATTTATCAAATCTCAAAAATAGCTTTTTATTGTATATATTGGTTTTATCGATGCCTCTTTCTTATATCGCTTTTTTCACTGTATATGCAGTGTATGTTCAGCTGTCATTGTAGAGACTGTGTATTTTAAGAGTTCAGTAAGTATTAAATATTAATATATTTTTATGACTATTTTTCTTATGAATTTATTAATATTAAAGGCCATGGCACATAAAAAAACTTAGGCATAAGACTTAAGCAGTAAGCGAATCGATCAATCACAATAGAGACCGTAAGACCATACGTAAGCAATATCGAATCCAACATAACGATTTCGTTACTGCTTAAGTTTTACGTCTTAAGTTTTTCTATGTGCCAAGGCCTTTACTGATTCGATAGTATACAATTACACATGGCATTAGATTGACGATTACGCATGGCGTAAGATTAACTTTTTTCTCGCATTTTTTGCAAGCAAATAAAATAATAATCAGTATACGTAATTTGTTCAAATATAAACTAATATATATTTATGTTAATTTTTTCTTATAATTTTCAACTTTAATTATAAAAAATGAATAATATGTCTATTATTTATATACGTGCACGCTGATATTTATATATGTATATTGCTCAAACGTACATTCTTCAATAACTAATACGTAATATTAATTACTTAGAACTTTGTATCGTTATTCATTTTTATATGCTATTAGAAATTTATAATGTTGTAGGTTTAAGTGTATACTATACGCGTTATATGTCGCTTGACAAACTGTAGCTTAGCCGCAACAACGTACGTACGCAGTGGATTTTCAAACTCGATTTTCTCGAAAACTAAGCAGAAAATCGAAAAATTTTATTCTATATATTTTTATATTTTTTCATGAGGAATCACGTCGTACTCGCTTTTTTGACCGGACAGAATTGTATGAGCAAATATAATTTCTGAGATTTATTACTTTCGCGCGATATCATGCTGACTTCACACTACGCATAACGATATATATAGTTATCGTACGCAATATGAATCCAGCATAAGTGTTAAAAGTATTATATAGAGATTGCCGACTGTCAGTCAACTACAGTCAACGAGTGACTGCGAGCAGATCGTTATATTAGAACGTTTTATTTTTTACAGTAACAGTAACAATTATTTAATTCTGTCTAACAATTAAATGCAGTATATCGTGTGAGCTCGTATTTGGCACATTCGAAAACGTCTTTTTCTTGAAATTATAATAAATTAGTAATTAGATGGATTTGATTTAAAGATTCGTCGATAAAGCAAATGGTATCCTATTCGTTCCATGTAGCTACATTGAAGATTGAGGAAACGTTGTAAAAAGTTAAGGTAGGAGGAAAATAATGAACATATTATTCGATCGATAAAATAGCTTGCTGCATTTCGTTTAAATTATTTTTAATCGCGATTTCGGCTGGAAACACCAACGTGCACTGGTGCATATCAAGACCGTTGTATACTGTTAATACCTACCACCGCGGTAGTATATGTTTCGTCAGGCGAACATGAGATTCACGAAATGTGAACCTCATTAACCTGCAAAACTCACTGTTTCATTGGACATTATTCGACGCGTTTTTGCATAAAATAAAAGAATCTGGCAAAAAAAGCGTCGCTCTGCCTTATAATCTGAGATATTAAGCGTTAAAGTTGATGACTATTGAGGTTAGGAAATTTGTCACAGAGGCAAAATGAGGTCTATAATTGTACTGTTTCACACACAGTATAGGTAGGAACAGTAGGTCCACGGTCCACGTCTACTCCGACAAAAATGATGCTAATGGTTGTCCCTTGCGCATGACCGAATCGCACAATCAACAATATGGCAGCCTTATCTCGTATCGTGCTCGTCATGCAGTGCAATCAGTAGTGATTAGTAAAATGATCGTGTAAAATGATTTCTAAAAACTGTACTTTAATTTAAAATAACATTAAATGTTTAATTTATCTTTCTCAAACAACTTATGTAACTTTCAAAACTAAAAATCTGCCTATAACCTAATCGGATTCCAGCATGTCAATTTAACTAACGACTCGTATTTAGATCGCCTTTATAACGATGTTAGCATATTTAGTATGTAAATTATATTACGTTTATTATAGAATTTCAGATAAAAATGCTCATTTATCGATAAAAAGTTATGAATATGGAATAGCGTTTTTTATTAGAGCTCTAATTTTACTCCGTTTTTCGAAGATACGTGTAAATGTAAAATGTTTATTCGTTTACATTCGTTTACTTTCAAAACAACGTTTACTTAAAGGTAAAACGTTTACACGTTCAATTAGCATATCCGTTTATTAAAGAAACGTTTTTCCGAATATACGTGTTTTATTATACATTTAAACGAAAATACATTTATATGTATATTTAGCATATCCATCTATGAAAAACATCTTTTCAAATATTTTTATATTCGAAAAACGTTTCTAATAAACGGATATACTAATTATATGTGTAAACGTATTTTTGTTTAAACATATAATAGTGAGCCTTATTTATAATGTTCAAATTATAACCCGCGGGCACACTCAACAATATGGCGATCGGTTAGCATTCAGATCAAAGATGCCGACACAGAGTGGACCTACTGTTCCTACCTATACTGTGGTTTTACATGAGTTTCGACTTCTTCAATGTAATTTTTAATTTTCGCTCTGCCTTTTTTTTATGTTCTATCAATATTAATTCGTCACTTGATGACGATGATGTCAAAAATTCCATGAGCACATATAAATCACTAAATGATAAAATCAAAATTGATGCTACAAGGATATCAATTTTCAGACAAAGACTATGCCTGGCTACGGTCCACTCGATGCTACGAATGCTTCGAAGCATTTTTTGATTGGTCAGGTAAAATTCTTTCTTCAAATAAAAGTTTCGAAGCATCAAGTGGACCGTACCCGAAATCACCGATACTAGCGACAAAATTAATACCACGTGGTCACACACACGCTGCTTTTCAGCGTCTCATGAAAGCACCAAGCCCGACAATTACACCAACAAATTTGTCGGGACCACTTTGTGTACACTTGTGCGGTGTACCAAGTCCAGACGAACATGTGACACTAACGGGGAACTGCACCATTCAACCAGCCGAACACACCAGTTGCACCGACGCGACACCCGAAATGTGCAGTCGGTGCGTCCCAGCCGAAATCATTATGAGTGCAAAAACGAAATGGAAATTATCACAAATACATGTTTTATTAACAGTACAATAAAATATATTGGGGATTGTACGATTTAATCTGTTTTTAATACATTTTTACGGCAATTGTGTATGACAGTTTTATGTGCACTAGTGCATCCCAGCCGAAATCGCTATTCATTGTACAACGGTCTTTATATGCACCAGTGCACACTAGTGCATCCCAGTCGAGAAATCGCTATAACATTTCAAAAAATTTTCTAAGATTTTTATTGTTGATTTAGCTTGTGTGTGTTATTGTATATGCCAACACACACATTCTCGACCCAGGTTTTTATTCTGTACGAATAAAATTTTATTTATTATTTTTTTCTATTATTTATATTATTCGCTATTTTTTGTTATATTTTATATGAAGAATATCTTTAAAATATAATATGTGTCATTACCATTATTATCGGAAAGGTTTTTTTTTTTTAATACATTATCCGATGCGGAGTTTGATAAAAATGTAGACTTTAAATTCATATTTAATTTACAAACTAATTTGTATAGTTTTTATTTATCACTATTAGTGACGTACATCAATCGGTATAATTTTAATATTGTCACTATCTAGATTACTATTATTTTTAATGAAGTCTATAACAATCCAAACAGAACAAATCACGATAACATCAAAATGATATTAAAATGAATCGGAAATGATTGAAAAATGATTTTTAACGATCATTTTAGAGTTATTTTTACATCATAATGACTTGTTGTTCTGCTCGGAAGCATAAAGGTAAATTTTCACGAGCTGCTCTAACCGGCTATTTTAGCGACAAAAAGGATCAAGTGATCAAAATGGGCATTTGATATTCGTTAAGTTTGACCACGTGATTCTTTTTGTCGCTGAAACAGCCGGTTTGAGCAACCCGTAAAAATTTACCTTAGTACATTGACGGCGCGCTCGTCTACACCAACGTATGTATGTATTACACCGAAATATAACCTCATTTTTGTTTCTCATTGTGTACAAAGTGTTACACCATTATTAAAACTGCTGAATCATTGAGTGCATCTGTGCATTCCAACAAGAGATACAGGGTGCGTTCCGAGTTACGTATGAAGCGCATGATGTATCATTTGTCCTTGTTGTTTACCAATTAATAAAGAAGGATAAAACGATACATCGTGCGTTTCATGCGTAACTCGGAACGTATCCACATATGACACGGTGTGACAGTGCATCATTACATCCTTGTTGTTCGCCAATGTTAAACAAGGAAAAGATGATCACTGTGTTGTACTGAGTCACTTGTTGGAAGATACCTATTGTTATTATTTCCAAACTAGAGTCTTGGCGTGAAATCACTTTTGATAAGAAATATAGAATTTTTTAATTTGAACAATTGAATTATTCTGTTTATCTCTGTATTTAATTTTTATTTCTCTATCTAAGAGATAAAAAATACGTGTAATTAAAGGTTTTAAAGAATATAAATTTAATTTACCGAGTTTTTCTCTGCTGTTTTTTTTTTATGTAATGATATTCGTATTTTACACTGAATCATAATCAAGTAAACAAGTTTAATGATAGCGTTTGCAAATTATCATTACATAATAGCAAATTGTTCATTTGTATTTGTTTCATTTGTTTGGTTTGAATCTGATTTTAAATAATAAAATTATTATTATATATATTTAGTAATCAATAAAATATTTTTAAAAATATAATGAAATTTCCTTATATAAAGGACTCCTTACTGCCTGCTAGTTGTGTCAATTTTTAATGTATCGCTTATGAAGGATCAAAGCTACTTTATAATGCTGAAAATAAGAATCTTGTTCTAATACACGCTTCGATATTTTGAAGCAGCTCTTTACACTTTTCATTGTATAAGTGTATATAAAGACCAATAAATAAAGTGCAGTTACGAGATAACGTGGCAAATAAAGACGACCGATGATAGAGGTCAATTTCTACCGTTGCTGATCTAATTGTAAGAACTTTGAGATAATCCATGGAAACTACTTTCGCTTTTCTATATTCTAATTGAAATTGAAGTAGAACTTTCCCGGTTGAAATTGAAATGTAATGTCTGAGCTCTAAGAAAGGAAAGTTCCTCTCAACTGGCAAACAAAATACAAAAATATCTAGAAGAACTTTGTGCTCATGGTAATGGATATTACCATGAGCACAAAGTGTTATTATGTCACTCACTTGTCTATTTTAAATCTCTCGAGTATTCGTTTGGATCTATCGTGCGAGGAATGCGAACCGAGGAGCCAAGTAGTCCCGACATCCTCCAAGTCAAGGAACTGGCTCCTCTCATAGCCGGTGCATCGACGTGCATCGTCGGCGCTGGTGTACACGGAACTCGTACTGGAGGAGGGCGAGGAAGTTCTCATGGTTTTTCTCTGCGAAAAGCTCCATTTATTAATACAATAAATGGAGTTGTGCCCGTACTCTGCGAACGATTAATTCATAATCGATCCACTCACTCGGAAGACATGCCTTTCGTTTTTCACCATCTACGACTGTACTTCTTCGTGTACTTCTCGACCGGCGCGTGTCGAAAAATTTCACGCCATATCGATATTATATTGGCTACATCCTGTACAATTCAGAGCACTTCTTCAACTACAAAGATATTGAGTTCAGCCCTTGACACAAGTTGAAGAACGCATGCGTAAACAAATTTCTTTACAGGAAGACAGTTATCGGATATCACCGACACATATACGAAATAGCAACAGTAATGATAATTGCACACTGCAAAGGCAAAAAAAATTACACTTGAAATGTCAGAAAAACATGTTATGTATTTCCTATGTGTGTTACGCAAGCGGAGCAGAACTGCGAAATGCAGCAGCAAAGTATCAGCTGAGCAAAATCGATGCGAGCCTGCGCAACGACTGCATCAACGCAACAGGCCTGTAGCTACGAAATAAAGTCCTATATATGAATCAAGCTTCGAATGATGAGACTGACTTTCATGTTAAAGATATGTGTGTGTATGGATATCTGTGTAAAGTTTTGAAAATCATTGATGGATATGTAACACATCGTACCTCCATTCCTCCTGCGATTCGAATGTGTATGATAAAGAACTTTTCTCTGTCATCTTTTTCCGAATGAAGTATAAAACTTTGATGCAAAATATGAATATTCTGCGCACGCTTAATCCTCGGCCGCACTTTTCGCTCAGCCGCGTGCGAGTGCGTGTTCAGCAAATTCCCACCGGCACTTAAGTTTAATCGAATTAAACAAGCTATTTTGCACTCCCGGACGAACACCGAAATTTTTTGATGAGTCCGTCAAGCGCAAGAAATTTGCAACGAATTTTTGCTAAGCTGCGCGAGAAACCGATAAACGCGATTTATTCATGAAGAATGAACGATGAGAGACAAAATTTGATCACTTGTTACATACACATGTACTCTATCAGTAAACTTGTCTCGATATAGTAACAGAATGAAAGTATAAGAAGATGCGCCGAAACACGTTTTGGAAACAGGATCAACGAACATGTGTGAAGCAACTTCCATCGAACGAGATTCCAGAGCTGGTTTGAGTCTTACATTGAACACGTATATCGAAAAAAAAACAGAGTTACATCATTAATTTATTCTTTCTGCAACAGGTGAGGCTATATGAGATTTCGCAAAATTATGAATTCGGTTTTTAGTTATTTTTTTATTTGCACTAATTTTTTATACACTCAGACATCGTTTATGCCGCAACTCTTTGTAATGTTAACATCGATACAACATTCACACCCGACAAAGTTCCTGAAATTTTATTATTGACAACGATAAACAGTAATTATCCGAGCTCACGGTTCTGTCTGATGAATTTAAATCAGCAGTTCGATCGCTCATAAACAAACAATTCTAGCAAATTCGAAATTGCGTAGATGTTGTGACATACGTGTGGAAACGATCAAGTCTTGTGCGTACGATAATAAGATGTTGCTATTATAATATATATATAATATATTTATAGCAACAGTATCATATAAATAAGTCAACACTGATAAAGAAGATGATCCGTATTCACGTCGCATTAAGCGTGTAGTTTTTATTAATTCTTCATTACAACCATCAACTTATGTAATAAATAATATAATATATATATAATTATATATTGATATTATCCCTAAATATATATCAGTAGAATTATAAATAAATTAAATATATACGACTGGAATGAGAGAGACTAGTTTGTAGATATCAGTTGTAAAGAAAATACGTGAATACGGACCGACTCTTGCATGCTTTTAACAATCTCTCATCGAAATGTTTTTCCCTTACAGAAATTTAATACTGGATGATAATGATTAATTACTTATTTTGAATATTAAAAACGCTGTCGTTCAATACTATTAATATTTTAAATAAATCATTTTTTTTTATTAAATACTAAATTGGTCAGTATTAAATTAGATTTCTGTAAAGGTTGCCACAATCGCATCGTTTAACATCCAGAGAAAACGTCGAAGATATCTATATACATAGATTTGCACATGTATATCTATATACATAGATTTGCACATGCTCTAAGCAGTTTTCTGGAGCATCAATTCCAACGGCTACTTATGCTAGCAGCTAATTGTACTCTTTAAATTCTTTGGAGTGAAATCTCCAGAGTGAAAATTAAGCCAGTCTTGAAAAAAAGTGGCTTAATTTTTAATCTTTAAGAGTAATATTTTACTCTAAAAGTTTTAAATTTAGGGAATAGCTTTATCTACATTGCTAATAATTTTCGTATTGATGTCAGTAAAAGAAAACATGGAATTCACGTCACGATAAATGCGATTGTAATTACCGAGCGAAACTTGACACTTATAAAAGACACAAACGTGAGATTTATCTTCTCCTTCCTTAAATAGTAACAATAACATTCGAGTACGCCTCGATATTCGCGTCTTTGATTCCACAACATTTACCATTTTCTGTCAAGAGAACTTTCTCGGGTGTTCGACTTTCGTCCGTTGTTCTTTGCTCTTTCACGAGTTTCTATGACTTGCTTCGACAAATTAAAGATAAATTGGACCGTAACTTTCGTATAGATAACGAGTTTTCATTAATTTATCACTGACGTAAACTTTCATCGGTATTTGATCGGAAACGATCGTTGATTAACTCTTCGGAACGAGCGAACAAATTTCTTGAAATTGAGTTTGTCGACGGTGTATTAATCAGTTCTTCGGTTTTTGTTGTAAAGAATGGTCTCACGTCATTGTTGCGTTATGTAGTGTTGCAGAGTGAGAGTACAAAAATATAATTTCACGATATGTCGATATCAATATCGAGCATAAAGATCTGAAAAGATCAAATCTATATTTTCTTTAAACTTTTTACAACGTTAGGTAGGACATGTGAGAGATGATTGAGATCAATTTACAAAATATAAACTTTGGGCAAATTATATGACGAATACTTCCTCTTCGTTCTCGTGTCGCAAACACGAATAACACTTGTTAAATGCAAATTATCAAAGTAACTTTATCGCAATTTACCGGCTAATTTTATATCTGTAAATTTACGAAATAAACACGTATCAGTGTCGCTTAAATACACAGTGAAAATTTTGTTTTATTCGCGCGCACACACACACGCACACACGCACACACGACGAATTATTCAAAAGAAAATACATTTAAGAGATAGGCTTTAAGAGGAGCTAGTTAGAAGTGGCCTCAGTTGCGCAGCCTCCTCGGAAACTTCGGGATCGCGGTTACTGATTTTCGACTTTTGTCGCGAAGGTCTCGTTTGCGGGTCTTCCTCCTTCGACCTGTCAGGATTGTCGTCTTCATCGTTTCTCTCTGCCTTGGTTTCAATTTCTTCAACACTGCTCCAACTGCTTTCACTCTCGCTAAACTCTCTTTTCTTCATATTACCATTTATCCTTTTCTTCTCCCTTTCATTCTGTTCGCCAGTCTCCTGCAGTCGAGTAATTAATTGTGTTTAAAGTTAGAATTGAATTGTGTATTGAATGATGTATTAAAGAATACAAAGCGATGATTATTTCATAATCTTTCCATTATGATCGCTATTAAATATAACTGTCGTTATACGTCGATAATTGTTAAATAATTATTTAAGATATGTAATTATTTAAAATAATTGCACAACTGTACAAAATTAACGATATTGAATTAATTAACGTTTTAAATTGATTTCATCACTTACTACAGCGAGAGATTTAAGCAGCGTGGTGGTTGTTGTCGTGGCCGTAGTTGTATCCGTGGTATCACTGCTTTCGCTGTTATTGTTCGGCTTCATTGTATTTGACAATGCGCCTTCTTCTAAATTCTTGCCGCGCACGTATCGCGTACGTGAAGACCAGCTATCCGTGTTCTTACTCTTGCCGTACTTTGGAACCACGCCGGTGGTCCATACGCTCGCATCGCTACTTCCCGTGCTGCTCTCGCTTCCGGTGCTGCAGTGTCGCCATCGACGTTCTGTGCACGTGCGATAAATGAGATATCTCTTAAATAAGGTCAAACATTAATCTAGTTAGAAGTAACTCAGTTACTTCGACGATCTATTCATTTGCAAATCTCTATATATGAAACTAACGGCGAACACGTTGAGTGACGTTACACGTCGAGCTTACTCAAGGTCTTTTCGCTTATAAAGAGGATATTATGCCAAACCGCGAGATTTTAGATGGAAGAGAAAATGAGAATTCGCACGTCAGAAACATGAACTAGAGACGTGATAAGTTTTAAAAATCGCGATTTTATTTCAGAATTGCAAATGCGATGGATGCACACACTACAAATGCTTAACATGTGACGTACTTTCGCACGGCGGTGGATTAATATTGGAATTGAGGGATTTTCTCAGAAGGGGGCTGCCTCCGTCTTGGCTCTCCTCGCTGTACGCGCGCGTTATGAGGATCCTCGGGCTCCTCTTCGGGGTCTCGCACATAGCTATGGAGCATTCCGCACCCAAATCCGCCCCGATAAAGTCGCTCCGATAATGGGGACCCATCAGACTGGCGGCACTCGCGCTCGCCCTCACCAATTTGCTCGGTTCACCTTAGCGCGCCATGATGAAAGGATGACGCTTATATCAGTGTCGAAACGCTTATCCATCAAGGATCAAGAGGGTTTTCAAAGATGTGATTCATTTCGCTAGAGGTCTTTCTTTTTTATATAGAGACATTCGCGTTAAAGTGCGAGGACCTCAAACACCGGTTTTAGTTACGAACTAAGAGGAACTAAAAACTATTTAGATTTTATCTTGGTAGCATTAGCTGCAAGGAACACGTACCCGATTCAGCGGTCGGCACTCTGAGAGTGTTACACGAGACAGCAGGTTGTAATCTGCCGCGCTGGAACCCCAGATTATTGCTTTCAAAACTACCTCCAGTTCTGCACGAGCCAAGAGCCAATAATGCCTCGCTGAGCCTTCGTTGTAAAGGAGGGAATGGGAAGAAGGAAGTGTTTCCACTGCCGGAAGGTCTCCTGGATCCTGCGACGCTCGGTGTTCTCGCTTGTATCTCCTAAAACAAATTTACAATTGCTCTCATGTTGTTATATACGAGTATAGGAACGTAATAGGACATAAGAGCGTAAGAGGACGTAAACTGTAAATTACTACTGTCCTTCGCTTCGCTCGACGCACAAGCACCCTCACGAGCGTTTATTTTTCTCGCGTTTCAAATTACCTGCTGTAATTCCGACTTAGTTGCCTTTTTCCGCCAGTAGTTCTGCACAGACCGTCGCAGGGTCTGCGATTTCAAACCATAAAGAAGGCCGTTGATGGGTGGTGAGCACGCGAGGAGGAGCGACGCTAAAGAGGCCAGCTTAGGGTGTGCGTGAAGACGGTGCTGATTACCGACGCCACAAGCTTCCCAGAGGATAAATCCACAATACGGAAAATAGAGCAGGTACAAAGAGCCAACCAGTTGCATCAC